TCTAATTACTTACAGGTTCAATTCTTGGTGTCTCCAATTAAAAGGTGATGTGAAAGACCTCTGCCTAAGACCCCAGAGAGCCACTTACAGTCTTTGGCTGATTCTGCATTGGCTTTTCTCTGTTGTTTTACTAAACCCATGTTGGAACATAAAGTAGTCTCCACATTCCATGCAGGTTTCGCTTTGTTAGATCATCAGATTTTATTGTACCTTCTGCATAGATTTATGGCCATTTTATGGCCGTTCAGGGGTGACTTTGCAGTCAGTATGGCATTGCCCTGAGGTATTTGGATGTGGTTTTGAGCTGCACTTTTTCCTCCCAGCTGAGAAAATGTGAAGCGAATGCTAGATGTAGAATAGCCCCGAGTAGACAATACTGACCTTGATGGACCAATGCTCTGATTCAATATAAGGCAGCTTTATGTGTGCTCATGTGTGATGTGTTTGCAATCATGGTTGATCTTTAGTGGATTAATGGGATTATTGCAGATTTGGACTAAGCAGATAGGTCATATCAGATATCTGAGGAGCAGTTTCAGTATCAAACTCTGAAGAACAATTTCAGCCTCTAGTTCTGCAATGCAGAAGCCATTTGTTGAACATGCTTGTCAGTCACATAATAACTAAAAGGTATACAAATATGGTGAAGTCGCCCTCTTCCCTCCCTCATGCACAGAATTTCCCCCTTTTTCTTCATTTTTGTTCAGCAGCCTCTATATCTATTGTCTTCTTATTTATTTATTATTTGTTTCATTATATTTATACCCCGCCCTCCCCGCAAGCGGGCTCAGGGTGGCTTACAACAAGGCACAAAGTGCATACAGTATAAAAAGATAAAACAGTTAAAATTCAGTACAATCAGGATGCAAGAATAGAAAGATCCAAAACATCTTGCATACCAGAAGGGGGAGGGCCAGGGCCATAGATATAAGTTACTCGGCCCTCTGGCGGTGTCGCTCTATAGTGGAGCGGTGGTGGTAGTGGCAGTGGCAGCTCCTACTCAAAAGCCTGGTGGAAGAGCTCCATCTTACAGGCCCTGCGGAACTGCAAAAGGTCCCGCAGGGCCCTGATCTCCTCCGGGAGCTCATTCCACCAGATAGGAGCTGCCACTGAAAAGGACCTGGCCCTCGTTGCCGCAAGCCTGGCTTCCTTAGGGCCCGGGGTCACCAGCCGGTGTTGTGATCCCGACCGAAATGCAGTCCCTCAGGTATGTCGGACCCTGGCCATGTTCTTATTTGTTTGCCTATGGCTGTCCCACCTAGTTACTTTAATGTGTGTGTGTGTGTGTATGTGTGTATTGATGCTGGCCCAGCCCAGTGAACTGAGGGAAGAGAGACATTATCACCTTCTTATATTCAACTTCTGAAATGGCACACAAAAGGTTTTGCAAGTTCGAAATGTTTTATTTTAGAAGAGAAAAGGTGAGGTGGAATCAGGGGTAGGATGTATGAGGTGAACTGATAATAAAACTGATGTGACTGTCATCACACTAATTCTAGATAATTTGTTGCCTACACATGCTTCTGCTATTCAAAAAGGACTTTTAAAACTTTGAGGAGAGATGCTTTCTTTTCCGTTTCTGCTTAAACACTTAAGCATAGGTGTCTGAGTTTCACTGACTCTTAAAGTCTAGAAGGTAGGAACATACAATCAAGTTCCCCAAATCCTTCTATATACACAGACCAGGGATCACGCCTCTCTATCTCCCTTTTCACTGAGCAGGGATTACTTCTCTTCTCTAAAAACAATTTCCCTTTTTGGCTTGAATAAGAATCCTCTCTGATTCTCTTACTCCTTTTGCCTCCTTCCCAGTCCATAGTCAGCTGTCAGTTCCCAACTGTCATTTCTTAACTGACTCTCTCCACAGAATTCCATTTGAACAGCCTGTCATTCAAAGGTTCTCAGACTCTGTTAGGCCATCACAATATGCTACTTTGCCTAAATGATACCATACCACTAATTATTTTTATTATTATTGCCATGCCACTCTGAACTGTAACAATGTTGTACTTTTCTACCACTCTGTGCTGATCATGCCTACAATTCACAGTAAACATTTTTCCCACTCCTTTGCCTTGTACTGTTGAAAAAATATATAATTTATGTATACATTTTTGAATATTGTCATTCTGTACCCCAGCATCCAGAATCTTTATTTCTCAAAGAATTTTCTAATTTTTTCACTTGACATTTCTGATGAAGAAACTAACTGTAAATTTAGCATATACAGGATCCAAGACCTGTTTAATAAGATGTCAGTCTTGGACAAACATTGTGGGAGTAGCTTCTGCTCCAGATTTCTTTGCTAGGATAATATTCCACGAATGGTTTACTAGTTTGGTGTAGTGATTAAGTGCGCAGACTCTAGTCTGGGAGAACCGGGTTTGATTCCCCACTCCTCCACTTGCACCTGGCTGGATGACCTTGGGCAAGCCTTAGTGCTGATAAGAGCTGTTCTTGAAAAAGAGCAGTTTCTGCCAGAGCTCTCTCAGCCCCACCTACCTCACAGGGTATCTGTTGTGGGGAGGGGAAGGGAAAGGAGTTTGTAAGCTGCTCTGAGACACCTTCTGTAGTGAAGGGCACGGTATAAATCCAGTCTCTTCTTCTTCTTCTTCTAGAACGTGCGCTGCCTCACTGAGACCAGTAGAGGGCAGGGAAACGTCAAGCATTGCCTATTTTTGACTTCTATGCTTCACTGGAAATACAGAGTACCTTACCCTACTCTACATACACCTTCCCAGTCTTCTTGATCACTCAGATTTACTTCTATTCTTCACTGGAAATACAGAGTACCTTAACCTTCCCAGTCTTCTTGATCACTCAGATGGAGACTCCTTTATTTGGCCTTTATTGGCTGTTTGGTTCAGGTCGTATGATAAGGACAAGGAGATTTACAAGTGAGCTTCCCCTTAGGAAATAGCGCAGCTTACATTTTTTAAGGCACTGAGAGATTTGCCATTGGCTTCCGACGGATGTCAAACTCATCCAACGAGGCGAACATCAAAGCACACGTTATTTTTTAAAATCCTGCTCTTTGGTGTCTTTGACCAGGAATCGTGCTACCCCTTGGCGATGAAAAGGCAACACTGCAGAACTGTTTGACACTTCCCGCGGGTCAAAATCAGCCGGGAGGCTTCGGGGTGCAACAGCGAGGCAGCTCTAGTACGAAATCAGCCAGAGTTTGCACGCGTGTCTAAAATCATAAGCTACAAAATAAAATAAAGATTTTAAAACGCTTTTAGAATGTCTTTCGAATGTTAAGATATTCACGTCTGAAATAGCCAACGATATTAACATGAGTGGGACAAACGAAATGTTCTTGGTTTGCTGTTCGTTACACTTTAAACCTGGATATTGACGGTAATGGTCCGTAGATTTCTTTGAGGTCAACTGCCAGCCCGAGCTTGTGAGCGTTTACTCGAAAGTAAATATGTTTGGAACTGCAGCTCTGATCTACAAACTTCGTCCTGGGTATGTCTTTCTAACTCGAGGAGGCGAGGGAAATCTCTTGTTGCGCGGGGGATCCTCTGGATCTTCCCTCTGTCAGTTAACTTCCGCTACTTTCCTTCCTATTTGCTATAAGTCCTGGCGACTCCCAAATACATCAGATGCCAGATGGCAATACCACATTGTGTGTTTGTGTGTGTATGTTTTTAATGTACACGTTGATCGGGTTACAAACGTCCATATTAGCGGTGCCATATAATAGCGTCTTTCCTGCTAAAATCCCCCTCAAGTTAACTTTAGTGTGTAGATCTCCTCCAAGGGCATCCCATTGCTATAACCCTTCCACCCCAATAAGATCCCCCCCCCCGGGAAGTTCCCCCCCCTCATCCTCGCATCGAATAAGAGCCACGCCCTTCGTCTTCTAACACACCGGGACACACCCACTTGCAGGTACACAGATCAGCGCCCCTGGCTGGTAGGTGCCGCCTCTGTATTAATGGCTGGGGAAGTGCCGGTTGCCATCGTGGTGGACAGCGACAGCTCGATAGAGGAGATTTCCAGCACCTGGGGTACAGGTGAGTGGCAGGTGCCTGCAGCGGGCAGATCGAGGCTCCCACACCCCTTGCTGTTGAGCGTTAAAATAGCTAGCAAGCAAGAGCTTAATGTTGCCCTCTGGTTGCCGCAGGACACCCCCCCCACACACACACTGAAATATCCTTGCCAAGATCCAAAATGCGGGTGTCTCTCTTCAGAGAGGAGAATCAGAATGGAAGGAGGCAGGTCAGCCAGCTGCAGGGGAAACCTCCAATGCTGGGACAAATCAATGTTGCAGCCCCTTAGACTGGGAGGCCAGATGTGTTTGTGCAGTACAATGAAAGAAATGTGTTTTCAGTCCCAGCCCCATTTGGGGCTGGATTCCATAGAACTGTTCACTGGCAGAATGGATTTAGGAGATCCAGCCCCATGTTGCTTTGTAGTTTCCCCAGGTCCAGAGTGACTTAGCAACTGCATGCTTATTTTATTTATTTACTTCGTTATTAAAATATTTCTATCCTGTTTTCCCACCCAACGACTTCCAAAGCAGCTGCTCGTTATGGTCCCAGTGTTAAAATGATAATCATCCCATCCACTGTAGGAGCAATAAAGAGAGGGGAGGGCCAGGGTGGCATAGTGGTTCCTGTCAAGCTAAGAACTGGGACAATCAGGTTCAAATCTTTCCTCTCCTGTGGAAGCGCACCAGGTGACCTTAAGCCAGTCACACACTATCAGCCTAACCTATCTCATAGGGTTGTTGTGAGGAGGGAAGTACAGTATGAAAAGCCACAATGGGGCCTGATTAAGGAGAAAAGCAGGATGTGTGTATAGATATAGATATATATTTAAGTATAAATAAAAAGTGGAGGAATCAATAAAACACAAAAGTTTAGAAGCTTACTTGAGGGATTCAGTGGTTCTTTGGTATCCCATGCATCTATCATGTTCTGAACTGTGCAGCTTTTTAAGGTGCCACAATGCCTTATCTATGCAATCTGCTCTTTTGGTTCCAGCCACAGATGTTTTCTTGGAGGTATCAGTCACTAGTGTGGAACCTTGCTGCATGATCAGGAGGGATCTACATGGCGAGCTACCCCAGATGACCGAGCCAGACACTGAGAGTCACCAAGCAAAAGTAGCTTTCCGAGCTGGTGAAGCAAAGTGTGAACCAGCCTGCAAGGAAGGGCTAAGGAGTGCAGGGATTTTAAGTGGAGAAGTGGATATGATAGAGGCTTATAAAATTATGCATGGGGTATCGAAAATAGAGAGAACTTCCCCCCCCTCCTGCCCCACAATCCTAGAATTGAGGTTTCCAATGAAATAAAATAATCAGTATGGGGTTGGAAGGCCACATGATTGCTTCCCCATGGGGCCCAGATGTGTGTGTTTTTCTCTCTTTCAGCTCCGTCTTGTGAAGTCAGCAGTAATTCTGATGTAATTTCTGTGAGTACTATGGAGCAAATTCCTCCTGCAACTCCTCTTAGACCAAGCACAGGTAATGGTGTTTTCATGAAAAATGGTGACCATGGTGACCATAATACATTAGCAGAAAGAAGATTTAATGTACAGGGAGGGAAAGTGTTTCTGAGGACAAGTCCATAAGGGAGTTTCCTGACCTCCTGCTATAAGTATGTCTGCAGTGCAGCTTTTGTGGCACTTCAAGATGTTACCACCACCCCTCCTGGTTTTTGGCATCATCGCTTGCATCAAATCAGAACTGAGAAAGCAGAATACGGGGCTGAGGTCTGCAGTTTCTGTGGCTATTCTAGAACAACAGCTGCTGTGTCATCTTGTGGCAGCAGCT